GGATTTTAACGAAACTTTTTGTGTGTGTTTGAGTGTGTTTCTGGATGGTTTAGTTTCACAATTTAATCCGACAGTTGGCGCTGTAGTTGAGTTATTACTAAAAATCTTATTTATGATCCGATTTGGCTAATGTTTTAAATATGTATGCAATACTATTGCAAAAACGTGCTACCAAGTGGTGCTGAAGTCAAGTTATTACTAAAAATAGCCAAGTGAGAAAGGGGCCGTGAAGGTCAGATTAAATCGAGCTGTTACACCATTGAGTATAGCGAACGCTCCTGCGTTGCGATTGGCCCAATGGATGTGATTTTCCAATATTATTATTCAAACTTTTAAGGTATTTCCTCTGGAATAAGTAGATGTATATTGCATTTCTGTAGAACAATGATCCGCACCCATTTTGAAATTGCCACCAACTATACTGTAAAGCTTTTAGGACATTCACTATAGAACCGGGTCATTGTTGCCGCCAGGGAGTAAAGAGGAAAAAATTTATTTCGCTTAGCGAATAACCGTGCTATGAAATGCCGCACAACTGGAGAATTTCAAGAACTTCTTCACGGATATAACACTTTCCTTACGTTATTTAAAGCGGCAAATGACCACCAAACCATAATCTTAGCAGACGAATGTGCCAGTGAAAATAGTAAACGTGAATTGTTGGTGAAAATGTTGGACCAAAAAGTTTCCATAAAATATATAATAATTTTGGGCGGGACAAAGTTCGCCGGGTCTGCTAGTTTTTATATAAAAATAACAAAAACAAAAAAGTTTAACTTATTTTGACAGGGCCAAATTCCTTGCAATTTTGTGTGCTGGGTGTGAGCTACTTCGGCCGTTGGAATTAAAGCGAAAATAAAATTTTCTTTTTTTTACTCCTTCGCGTTTCAACGCATTTCGCGCCTTCCTCAGGGACTCTGCTTTATTTTAACGACAAACAATAAACAATAAACATGGTTAACAATTATCATAACATACACATCAGAATTTGAAACTCACACTTTACAATTATTCACATTAAACAACAATAATTACATGGTTTTAGCGCAGCGAGTTTACATTACTTTCATTTTGTTTTGTTTATATCTAGATTTTAATATAGCTGTGTAGGCGTTGTTTGTGTTGTCCACATATTCTTTGAAATTCATCACATTGTCAAGTTTCTGTTGTATTCGTAGGCTTTCCAGTGTCATTCTCCTTCTTTCTCCTCTTTCGATGTCCAAAACTCGCGTGCTGTCGAAGTCCGATCAGTGTTCGTTGTTTGCCAAGTGTTGAGCCAGCGCAGTTGTCATCTTTTTGTTTTTTGCGTCCGCCCCATGATTCAATAATACAAGGTTATATAATTATTGACAGCCCTGGTTTGACACTCCCTTACAAAAGGTTGCATTTACGAAGGATGGGGAAAGGGGAGGAATGAAATCCATTGGTGCGAAAATGGTAGTAGAAAAGTACCCAAAGTAGGCAAATAGTAGTGAAATTCCTTTTGTAAATTCTAATGTATTTGCAGGAAATCTGGCATTTTAAACGAAGTATTGAACGAAATGTTAATATATCTACGTGAATTACACAATTTTTGTGTTATTTAGCCGTATAAAAACTGCAAAAAGACTCAAAATTAAAACAAAACTACTATGAGATTGATGTTAACATCCAATTTAAAAACAGTTTATGTTTTCATCAGTTAAATGTGCTTCATATGCATATACAAATAAACATATTGCACAAAAGCTTATACTTCTATTTCACAGAAAAGCAACACTTTTTCTAAGTAAATTTGCAAAGAAGCAACACTTTGCCACTGCTAAGGGAGCGGTGCGAGAGAGACAACTGTCAGTTTATCGAACCTTGTATTATTGAACCATGCGTCCGCCGTATGTTCATTTATTTTTATACCACACGCTCGTTTCGTTGTACCTATATAGCTTTTATTGCAGCTTTCATTGTTATTACCAGTGCATGTTATTTCATATACTACATTGTTATGTTGCTCTTTTTCGATCTTGTCCTTTGTTTTAGCAAATATTTTGTTTAGAGTATTGTGTGGTTTATGCGCATATATTATGTTGTTGTTTTTCATTGTTCTTCGCAGTGTGTTATTGCTTGTTAGGCCTGGTATACAGGGTGTCCCAGAAGTAACGTGCCAAACTTTAGGGGAAGGTAGGTGGGGGGGTGAGCTCCCTGATAAACAAAAAATTTTCAGGTAAAAGTGTCACCGTTTTTGAAATATTTACATTTTTTCGAATTTAAAAAAAATCGTGCCTTTTCATGTGTTTTCTTTAACTGCAACTACAAACCGGGTAATACTTAGTAAATTTTTTATGTAAAATACTTCCAGATAGTTGCCTCTCCATACTCAAATGCAATGTAGTTAAAATATATTAAGGAACCATCATAAAATTAGGACTATTTCTGGATTTTTAACTTTTTGATATGTTCTTCCCCAACTTTGACTATCTCGGGTGAAAAAAAAATGTACTGAGCGATAACTTTGCATTACATAAAAAAATTGCTCATTTCATATAGATTTCAGAAAGGTGCCACACTTACTGTTTTGAATAGAAAAAAAAAGTTATAGCCGCTGTTGTGGGTAAAGGACTGAGACACGCTAGAATGTATTTAATAGATTTAAATTGAATTTGCTCTTGTTACCGTCAAATGACATGCTAAATAGTACAAAGGTACATTATTACCTGCTCCTGATATTATTTTGTGTTACTTACCGGAATAAGTGAAAGTGGATTTTGTGAAATTGGACCCTTCGAACATTGTGTTATTAATACTATGACAGAGAACACGCAGTATACGTCGCATAAATATGCGGATATTCACCTAATTTACGGTGAAGCTTGCTGTAATGCCAGAGCTGCTCAAAGACTCTATACAGAGCGATACCCCAATCGTCGACATCCGGGTCGTGAAGTATTCGCCCGGACCCATAGAGAAATATATGAAGGTAAGTGATCCTTTCTTGTTTGCTTGCTTGTTAACTATCATTTTTTACTTTTTTAAGGTCGCATACTTGGAAGGCGTGGCGGCGAAACAGGACGTCCTGCAACGGTAGATGTTGAAGCTGTGTTAGAGGAAGTGGAACTAGGTCCATCGACTTCAGTGAGAATGATGGAAAGACGGACGGGAATACCAAAAACTACAGTTCACAAAGCTTTAAAAGACCATCGATTTCATCCCTACCACATTCAACGTGTTCAGGCTCTACAGGAAAGAGATTACATGTCGAGGGTTAGATTTTGCCGTGAAATGTTGCGAATGCATGCATCAGACCCCAAATTTTTTAATAAAATAATTTGGAGCGATGAATCATCATGCAAACGTGATGGTTATTTAAATTTTCATAGCCTTCACAGTTGGCAGATAGACAATCCTCACGAAATGAGAGAAGATCATTCGCAGTACCGGT